GCAGGAAAGATAATCATAAAGGCAAGGGTGTACCATCATCTCAGTCTCCACGCTCTCAACCCCCTCAGTCCTTGCATCAAGACGAGAGTGGGTATTTTTCTTTTCAGCAGTCATACTTTGGACAACCACCTCATGCATTTCCCAACATGTCATTCCATGATGGCAGTTACTTCCTGATGCACCATCAATTTGGATCATATATGAGCATGCTAAGTTCTCCTACTCTGCCTTCACAATTCCATAGTCCTAATATTAGTGGAGTGCAACTTTCTCCTCATAGTCGTTATGGCTCAACTTCCGAATCAGGTTCCAAACGGGTACTCATAGAAGAAGGGGAAAAACATCACCAAATCCAAAAAAGAAGAGGAAAAATACCTCAACAAAGAATAAATAGTGAGACTGGTGGTCCTCAAGGTAACAAACATATGTTTTGAAATTCCTGTTATGATGATGAGCTCATTCTATTTCTTGCCGACTTGGTAAGAAAGGGTTACAAACCCGACAAAAGCTTTAAGAGAACCGCTTTTCGTATGACTTCCCAACATATTAATGAGAAGTTTAACACAATATTCAAGTGGGAAAATGTCATGAACCACACCAAAACTTTATGTACAAGATTCCGTGATATGGAAACTTATTATAATCTTAGTAGTGCCGGTTGGGATGAAGTACCAAGACTGTCATCATGGAACCTGAATGTTTGGATAGGTGGATTGGTGTAATTAAACTTTTTTTTGCATAACCCTTGACTACTTATCTTATTTTCATGTTTTCATGAATTAATTCAACTATACTTTTCAGAACAAGAGCTTTAAGAATACTAAGCTTAGATAATATATCAATAAACCCTTGAGGTATTATGATGATCTTGCCCTTATCATCGGGGATGATCAAGCTAGAGGGGAATTTGCTAGTGATGCTTGGAAAAAGTTTAGTCGTAGCAACTCCATAAATTTTGGAGACGATGCTGACTCTCCTTTGCCTGCCTCACAATCCCCTCAAGTACACATTTTAGATGACGAGGACACTCCTCCGCCTAAGGAAGCACCCGTCACATTAAGTTCTAAGACAAATACATGTGTTGGTAAGGGTAAGGCTCGTAGGACTAACCTAGATAATGAGCTCATGCTAAAAATGGTAGATAAGATAGATGTATTCAACGCTAGCATGAAATGTGTAAATATGCATTGGACCGAGAAGTTATCCACCGTCCTATATGCTCATTTACAATACTTTAGTAATGCTAAGCTAGATACATACTACTGTCACCTCTTTTTGAATGAGCATGAAACAAGATTATTTATGGGTATATCTCTGGTTGGTCAAAAAGAAATGATTAATGTCTTTCTCAACAAAGAGGGTTGAAGTCCGATAGAATATGTGTGTACATGGTATTTTGTAATTCTCACTTCTAACATACTTGTGAAATCCATTTTGGTGAAAGACTATTATTGTTTAACTTAGGCAACTACTCGTAGGAATGTTATTTTTGTGTTTGTGGAACATTACAATGGTGGAACATATTATTGTAATATGTAGTAAGTATTTATATGCCTCTATATTATAATATTTACCTTTCATGATGTGAATGTTGTAGAACACTAACTTTTACACCAAAATTGTGACTGCAGAAACTTTATAAGTCACCATACGATCATGACAACTGATAAACTATCTGAGAGGCAAGCAACCTACAATGTACACACATTGTATTGGATGTCTATTGCTGTGAGTGATTAAGGTATTCGGTTGTCATGCCCCGAATTTAATTTGGTGACCTTTTTACTTTTAGGCTATGATGATTATCAAAATTTCTGAGATTAGCAACCTGCAATATCTATTGATATTATACTGGATGGCTAACAATGATGATATTAACCAAATTCTGAGCCCTAAGCCATAATCAATAGCCAGTAGCTAACTACTTGATGGCAATAGTTGGTGTTGTTGATTGGTTGGTTGGTTAGTGTTGTTGGTTGGTTGGTTTGCGTTTCTTTGCATATTGTCCTCTAATCTTTGCCAAAATTTGGTGCTGATTACATGTACTCGGGATTGTTGGTTGGTGTTGTTGGTTGGTTGGTTGGTTGGTTGGTGTTCATGGATGGCTGGTGGGTGTTTCTTGGTTTATTGGCTGATTGGGTTTTTGTGTGCTATTTGGGCTTGTAGTATTTTTGTGTTTTTGTTTAGCTCTATGTTGTTGGGTATTGTGGTTGCTATTTGTGCTCGTCGTCGAGCTCACGTGGCTTTTTTTGTACTATACTGATTTGAGCTTGTTTAGCTCTATGTTGTTGGGTTGTTGTGTGCTATCTGTGCTCGTCATTGAGCTCCCGTGGCTGTTTTTGGTTACTTTGCTGCTTCGAGCTTGTTTAGCTCTATGTTGTTGGGTTTTTGTGTGCTATTTAGGCTCATCATTGAGCTCCCATGGCTGTTTTTTGTTACTTTCCTGCTTCAAGCTTGTTTTGCTCTAAGTTGTTAGGTTTTATGGTTGCTATTTGTGCTCGTCGTCGAGCTCACAAGGCTGTTTTTTGTTACTATGTTGATTCAAGCTTGTGTTGGCATGTGTTGTACTTCATAATTTCATGTTTAGGTTTTTAGTTTTTTGTTCGATCTTTGTTGGTTTTCAGGTTTGTGTTTGTGCTAGCTTTGTGGCTGTTTGTGATGATGATGAACACACATTGTCCAGGTCTTCAGTTTGTGCTGGCTTTGTGGTTGGTTTTCAGTTTGAGTTCATGTCCATAAATCTTATGGGCACACATTGTTCAGGTGCTGCTTGAGTTCATGGCCAAGTTTTGTGTGCACACATTGTACGTGTGCTAATGCTATTTTGTGCACTGTTTGTGCTCTGTTTTTGTGTACATATGACCAGTTTTTGGCCTGGTTGGTGCTCAGTTTTTGTGCATTGTTTGTGCTCAGTTTTTGTGTACATATGACCAGTTTTTGTGTTGTTGGTTGGTGTTGTTGGTGCTGTTTTGTTCAGGTTTGTTCTCAACCAGGTTTTGTGCACATATGACCAGTTTTTGGGCTGGTTGGTGCTCAGTTTTTATGCTTAGTTTTTGTGCACTTTTTGTGCTCAGTTTTTGTGTACATATGACCAGTTTTTGTGTTGTTGGTTGGTGTTGTTGGTGTTGTTTTCTTCAGGTTTGTTCTCAGCTAGGTTTTCTGCACATATGACCAAGGTTGTAAGAGGTGCTGCTTATTCATATATGCTCAGGTTTGTGACCATATTTTGTGTGCATGTTTGTGGGTGTTCAGCTGGATTTATTGATTTTGATATTGTTTGTGGGTGTTCAATCTAAGCTATGATGATTGTTAATTTTTTTGAGATTAGCAACCTGCAATATCTGTTGATATTACACTAGATGACTAACAATAATGATATTGAACAAGTTCTGAGCCCACAGTCATAATTCGCATATACATGTGGCTGATTTATTTGACATGGTGTCAAGGCATATTTTCAAATGATTTTTTGCACATAAAGTTCATCAACAGGCATAAATTATCAGGTTTGATGCGATTTCATATTTTCAAATGATTTTTTGCACATAAAGTTCATCAACAGGCATAAATTATCAGGTTTGATGCGATTTGCTATGTTATATACATATTTATGGCATAAAGTTCATCAACAGGCATAAATTATCAGGTTTGATGCGATTTGCTATGTTATATACATATTTATGGCTAATCAGGTTATTTATATATTTTTTATAGGTTTCATAAGAATTTTTAGCCAATTCAGGTATGTATTTCATAAATTTATGAATAATCAGGTTATTACAAGTCTTGTTTATTTTTTTTCTTGGAAAACAGGTTTCATGTTATTTTTTATCTCAAACAGGTATATTTCTGGTCAAATCAGGTATGCAGTTTATACCAGTTGATTCATATGATTTCAAGTTTCGTATGATTTCATTTACACAAACCGAAATTTATAATGAATTCGGGATATTATTATTTGTTCATGTTATATTCGTGCTTTTATATGATTAACATTACCTCCCATAACAAACACAAATAAATTTGTCTATAATTGGAGGTAATCTTACCATGGTGACCATAAATACTTTTTCCTACCCACTTCAAAACCAACCAAACATAAGAAAAGTGGAAAATGTCAAATCAACAAAAGTTTTCTTTTTTTTTCCATGCAAACCAAACACAAGAAAAGTAAATACATTGTTTTCCCATCATATTTTACATGCGAACAAAACCAAAACAATTTATTTCTTAGAAAAGTTTGGAAAACTCAAAACTTAAATTTCTTTACATGGAATTGCATTTCCCTATATCTAGGAAACGAACCAAACAGCCCCTTACTATCAAAAAGTAGTGGAAAGACCACTACTTGTAATCACAATCATTGATTATACAATAGATGATTGTGATTTATTTTAAATTTAATACCCATCACACATCCTGTGAATTACTGTTCATTCCTAATTTGCATTTGAAGAGAAAAAAAATCATATCACGTATTAGATGAGTGATTGAGAATTGTCCATCTTACTACTAGGAGCTAAAAAATATTGGAAAAATGAAGATGACACAAAGCTGCTACACATTAACAATTGAGAAAGTAGAAAAAGTAACATTTCTAAAGAAACAAACATGTTTTTTTCCCCTCAGAAGTAACAAAAATAAAATTTATTTCTTTTACTACAGATAAATCGGCCCTAAACAAATAGACTTGTTATAGTTAAAAGTTGTATTCTCTCTCTTGCTTTTTCATAGTTGAAGCAAAACAAGACAAATCATACATACAAAGTATGTAAGTATAAATTTAACAAAAGTAGAACTTTAAAAAAAATAGTTTTTTAAAACGTATTTAGAAATAAGATATCAACAAAAACTTATATTTCATTCGCTTCATTTTAGAAAATGCGGAAAGTGAAATACAAAACACTTTTATTGGGCTTTTTTCTACTGATACTAGGTATTGGAAGTCCAG